TTATTTCTTCATTTGACATTTTGTTTTCGACCATTTTTTCGTGCGCGAGTCAATGTGAACTATGTATTACCAAACTTTCAACACGCAAGGAACGGGGAACACTCGCGGACCTCGTAACAAATTTGTTGCAAAAAAAAAATTTCAAGGGTGATTTTGAAGCAGTGAAGAACATTGGCGCTGCGATGCGCTGAAATATACTTGAAAGAAACTTAAAAAATAATACCTGAATTTTCAGAAAATCGTATTTGTATTAGTGTACCTAGATGTGACTTGTTTATAAATCAGATTTTATGAAGATTTGTCGGGAAAAAATGTCAATTTTTTCCGTTTGGTGGTCATTTTTAGGCTAATATTTTAAAAGTTGCATCAGTAATGGGCCCGATGTTTATCTTATCGTACTCGCATGTTATTTCTACATAGATTAAACATAGGATGGTTAAGGGTAAGACCAGATAACATTATAAAAAAGATATATCCTTCCACCCTCCCATATCCAAGTTTTGGGCTGATTATTGCCGACCCACCGCAGCAAGGCCATTCAGATTTTCGTACGCGCGCAAAGCGCCCTCTAGTGCCCCATGAATGTGTCTAGCATTATTATAAAAGCCAGTAAGCTACTACTCACATACTCTACACTGTAGAGGTTTATCATTGGCATTGCATGGTTTAATTTTACACCTCCATACAAAGGCACATGTAGAAATTTTCCCCAATATCTATCTCTAAGTTATATCATCCTTTGTGTTATCCTTCTTTTATCTTCTCTAGTTCATTTTTTTTGTTCTCATATCTTTCCCTCATTTTCTTTCAATCTTGATGTGTTTTTATTTATAAAATCCACCTTTCTTTCTCGATGTTATCATCCTTCTTTCAATATTTATCTGTCTTTCGTCTTCTCTTTTTTCTTAAATATACGTTACCCTTTCTCCTTTCATTTTCTATCTTGAATTCATTATTCCTTTCATCATCTTCACTTTGTACCCTTGATGGTATTCTCTATTTTCATCCTTCTCTTTTCTTTCTTTCATCTTTTATTTTGAGTTTGACAATCAACCCTCCTTCTTTCTCATAACAATCAACCCTCTTTCTTTCTCATAAGTTGTTTTTCTCCTTTTATCTTTTCAGTTTCTTTCATCAGCTAATGTAATTTAATTGCACACGGCGAGCTGTCATCATTGAAATTACAATTTACACTCATGGCTGCGTTTTTCACGATGCTAATAATAATATAGGCCTAGATCTAGATCTAGATGATCTAGACCTATAAATAACACAATACATCAATTACAGTATATGGGACAATGAAAAAGTTGAGACACTGACCAGAAATAAATGCAAAATATTGATCAAATATTAACATGTTTACCCGTTTTGGTGATGCAGGCTGGTCATCTTCTTCAGGTTCAATCCCACTATCTTGCTTTTCGATAGCCTTTTCACTTCTTTTACGTTTTACATGTCCTCCTTTTTTAGCCATTTTTGTCGGCTGCTGCACAACACGTGAAGTTTCGTTGATCGATAGCATATTACGATATAGCACATCATATTACGATAGCAGCGACGGGAGCTGGCTGGGGTAGGGGAGGGGGGGGGGGGGGGGGGGGGGGGGGGTTACGGTAAGATTTATTCCTTCAAAATAATTGAGTTGTGTATATTGTGTACTCGATATGTTATGTATTGCAATTTGAAATAAGTAACTTATGGGATGTACATGTATTGAATGAATACAATAAAGAACTACACCCCCTTCCGCCCCCCCCCCCCCAGGTGATAAAACAAAATACATCAAAAAGCAACAACAACAACAAAGATAAAAAGGCATTAACAAATATATGAGCACTGAAAATCAGCGAGGTTGGAGAAGGCCGAGGGTTCCTGAAATCATGTGCCCGACAGCCGCGCAAAAAAAAAAATCAGTGTGCCCCCATACTTTCGGACAGGGGCGGATCCAGCCGGCGGCAAGGGGGCCCAATTCGTAAGAAAATGTTGAGCGGCGATTCAGCCAGCCGCGAATAAGCGGGGGGGGGGGGGGGAGGAGCATTAATTTTGTTTTTCTTCCAAATTCGTGAGAAAATATTTAGCGCCGAATCAAAATTTAATAAAAGATAGATTTGAGGATTTTCTTTTCCCTTCAATTATTGAAAGCTATGTAACCTATGATTGGGAATCAAATTGTCATGCGTCATGAGTTTATACACGGAGAACTCTAGAAGAGAGAGAAAGAGTGAGAGAGAGAGAGAGAGAGAGAGATAGAGAGAATTGGGAGGGAGAAAGAGAGGATAAGAGAGAGAGAGAGAGAGAGAGAGAGAAGAAAGAAAGAAAGAATATGGATCAAGAATAAAAGGAAAGGCTCATAAAGTGTTGGGTGCCTTAAATTCGCCAAAAATTTGATGGCAAAATTACACTTAAAGCCCGTCTGTACTAGTTTGGCCACCCAGCGTGGTCACTGGCAGGTGGCTATCTCATCAACTCAGCTCTCAATTAGAAAAAGAGGATATGATGAAAACCAACGGTCACCGCTTAGGCATTGTTTTCTATATAGAGGGAGCACGTTGCTACAAGTAGTACAGTGAGGCTTGAAATTGTATCATAATGTGACAAATAATGTAATTTAAGACAAAATTCTGCAAAGATCCCTCCCCCCCCCCCCCCCAAAAAAAAAAAAAAAAAAAAAAAAAAATGTGCTTGAAGACAAAATTTTATTGTTGAAAGAATTTGTAATCTCGGTCATCTGTATTCTACGCAGAAAACCTAAAATGAAAGAAATATAAACAGAACCAAAATATATGATCTGCAAATGTCTGGTCTGTTTAAAGCCAATTATACGGTAGTGAGCACATTTTTTTTTTTTTTGATCCTCAAAAAAAAATTCAATTTGCCCCCCCCCCCCCCCCTTGAGCGCCAGGGGGGGGGGGCCCAACCCCCCAAAAAGGTAAAAATCATGTGATTTTACATGATTTTTTTCTCAAGGGGGGGGGCCGGGCCCCCCGGCCCCCCCCCCCCCCCTGGATCCGCCACTGGTCAAGTATTAGGTATTCCTTAAATTTAATCTTAAAATGAGCATAGTTTTCTACATGTATTTCCTTTACACATGGGAAGGGAATTCCAATGTTTTATGGCATTGTAATAAAACAAATTTCCAATACTAAGTTAAAGTTGAATCGGCTATTTCTTGTATTATAATCATGTAACAAGATCGAAGTTGGATCGAATATAGTGATTCGACCTAGTATGATATATTTTATGCACGTGATGCAAAACGAGTTGTTTTGATCTTTGGTCGACTTCAAGAAAACCAGCTTTAGAAAGTAGGCTACTTGAGTTCTTGGATCAGAATGACAGTTGATAAATCTCACCATTTTGTTCTGTATAATTTTCAACTTAGTGACTTGTTACGGTTACTATACCACGCAAGGTTAGCATAGTCAAATAAACATTGAAAAAGAGCAAAACAGAGTGTACGTCTTGCTTTTAAATCCATACAACTTGATATCTGCAATTTCAGACGAGAATTTGCTTTTTTTACAACTGATTCTACTAAAGATGAAAATGAAATTGCGCTAGCCAACTCAATGCCTAAATACTTCACAGAACCTTTCCTGGGGAGGGGGGAGGGTCACGTCCAGATTGCCCCCCCCCCCCAATTTTTGAAGTCTTTTATTTCGTATAATAGTCTCGATCTATAGGGCCCAACTTTTTAAAATTGTGCCTTCTTGAAATAAAGCACACAAAAATGCGCTCGATCTGCGTCGATTTTCCAGTTCTCTGACTCAGTGGCGAAAAGTGGTATTTTTATACTCCAATTATTCGCGCGATGCAGGCGCGTAGCCAGGGGGGGCGGTGGGGGCGGTCGCCCCCCCCCCCCCAAAAAAAAAAAAAACGCCGGCCAAAAAAAAAAAAGAGAGAGAAAGAGAAGAAAAAAAGAAAGAGGACGTAGGAAGAAAAATGGAAAAGGAGTCGAGAACGGTACAATGAATCGTCAAAGCTTCCGCGCTTCGCGCGGGAAGGGGGAAACTGAGTTCAAATTAAGAAATATGAGTCGGGAAAGGTACAACGAATCGTCTTCTTTCTCTAATAATTTAATGAAACGTCAAAGCTTCGCGCGAGAGGGGGGGGGGGAACAGAATTCAGACAAGGATTAAGAGTCGAGAAAGGTACAACGAATCGTCTTCTTTCTCTAATAATTTAATGAAACGTCAAAGCTTCGCGCGAGAGAGGGGAGGGACTGAATTCAGACAAGGATTATGAGTCGAGAAAGGTACAACGAATCGTCTTCTTTCTCTAATAATTTAATGAAACGTCAAAGCTTCGCGTGAGATAGGGGAGGGACTGAATACAGATAAGGATTAAGAGTCGAGAGAGGTACAACGAATCGTCTTCTTTCTCTAATAATTTAATGAAACGTCAAAGCTTCGCGCGAGAGAGGGGAGGGACTGAATTCAGACAAGGATTATGAGTCGAGAAAGGTACAACGAATCGTCTTCTTTCAAAGCTTTCGCGCTTCGCGCGGGAGGGGGGGAAACTCCCCCCTCCCTGCACCCACCCCCCTAGGGAGCGCGCTTCGCGCGCTCTTTAAGTGATTCGCACGCTTTGCGTGCTCACTACCGCGCCCCCCCCCTAAAATGAAGTCCTGGCTACGCGCTTGGCGCGATGATCTCGGTAAAGAGCTAAATGAGAGTTGATATAATCAACAAAACTGGACAAATAAAACCCCTTATTTGGCAGTCAGTCTAGTTTAATTAAGACGGAAAAAAGTTGAATCACTGACTTCCCAAGGGACACAAACATCGGGGGTTGAGTGATTGATCGTAAGATTCCTTGCTCCACTTTGACAAACTTTCAAGAGTGCACCACGTTTGTGCTATTAGTGTGGCCATCTTGTGCATACATAGCCTACTGCTCGTGTTACATCTAACGTATTTTTTTTTTTTTTTTCCAAGATAATTTTTAGTTCTCCCTGGAATGTTCATCAGATGAAGACGACTGTGCACAAAAAATTGTTAACACACGTGCTGTTTTACAAGGTGCAAAGTCCTTGCATGCAGTACCGTCGAGTCGTCTTGCGCATGCATAATGCACTTTCACAGTTCAATAAACAAGTCAACAGCAGCAACACCCACCCAGTCAGTCGTCGGCTGTTAAGTTTGTTTTTGTGCTGTATGATTGAACTTTGTACGTTTAAATGGCTGTTTGAGCTAGACCAAAGGGAAGGCCATTGTACCTTTTGATGCATACCATGAATATTGTCATGCAATTACATATTTTATGAATTGACAATCAATAAAAATACAATAAACAGGATCACGGGATGTCGGGGTTCGATGAAAGCAGCTTCGGCAGCGGGGGCAGCGAGCGAGAGAAGGCCCCTGACACTAGGGCAACTGGAAAGTTTCTGCAGCTTCCACGCGGAGCGCCCACGCCTGGCTCAGCCTCCGCATCAGCTGTTCCACAGCGGCTCAACAAACCGAAATTACATCTCAACATCAGTCTTGCACAGCAGCAGAACGAGAAAAGTCACAGTGCAGACGATATCCACGAAGCTGGGGATAAACTCAGTACCATCGTTCCTACTCTTCGATTTCTAAATAAATGGAGGCAGAGCGCGAAAGATTTTACGTTGTCTCCTAACCCTTCCAGCTCCGGCAGACCGAAGTTGATGAGCAGCATGAGTCTAGCCCCGAGCAGCGGCATGTCTAGCCTGCAGCCTCCGGTGATTTCTGCCTCGCTGCTAGGTCCAGCTAACCCTATTTCTACTCCAAAACTTCCCAATGCTCTCATTGAGATGTGTGTGGTCGTGGGGATGGATCATGACACTGGATTGAAACTTGCCAGGAAGTCGATGTCTGCATCTCAGGTAGATTTATATATGATAATAAAGTTTAGATAAATAATGTTTTGCTAGATCTAGAGTCTAGACAGTTTTACTTTTAGCCTAGCCATGCAGTTAAAATGTTTTTTAAATTGTTCCTGTAGGAATTACGGTCTTAATCCTAATCAGTATGAAAATAAATTTTTAAAATTCATTTTACTTATAATTCGGCTTAAATGTGAAATTGTTTGGGAAATTTGAAATTATTCACGATCATAAAATGATAGCATCACTTATCAGTATTGTTTACAATCACATGTAATTGAATTTCAAACAGATATTGATTGCATAAGCTTTACCCTTGTGTATCAAATGAATTTAATACTATTATCCTAAATAGATTTATTTTATTTACAATGATTTGACCCAGTTATGTTACTCACCAATAGCATTTACTTATTTTGGTGTTATTGTTTATGCTCCTCTTTTATTTCTTTATTTTGCCAGCATTACAATTTCCGTAATGGCGGAGATGGAATGCCAATTTTTTCTAGAGCCTTCGAACCACAAGTCTTGGCCGTCTTGACGCGTCAGATGGCAGTTTTCCCCCAGAACAAATCTCTGCTCGGACCCGATGGGTACGGCGAGTATGCGTACCCTCGAACCCCTGTGTCTGTGACCACACCCCCTGCGAGGGACCTTGGGTTTCCCAGCGGATTCCAGCGGCAGAGACGCATCACCCGGAGGCTGTCCATCAAGCCGCGTGCACTTCCTCTCTCGTACAATCAAGAGATGATCAATTCTTTACCTCCACTCTGTTTCCCAGGTAAGATCCATTCATTGTATCTACAATATACATGTACATGTAGCTCCTTTTCAAAATTTTCATGCATCTCTGAATTCAGTCTGTAATTGGGAGACTCAAAATGTTGTCTTTGAAGACATAGTCTTTACACACAGGTTTCCTCTAACACATATTAATAATCTTTCACCTTTCCATTTTGCTCTTCTTTCCCTCTCTCGCTTATTCCTCTCTTACTTATTCCTCTCTCACTTTCTCCTTCTCTCTCCTTCTCACTGTCTACTTAGTTTTCATCCTTAACTCTTCTGTTCCCACATCTCTCATTCTTTTACTCGGTAAGGTGGAACATTTCTTAATTAACTTTAAAAAAACCCCTGTTGTCTTCTCATCTGCCCCACTTCCACACGTGATATGATGATTGTTGCCATTAAGTAAACTCCATACATGTATGATATGATCTAGAAAACTATGCTCACAAAAGTATTCAATGTATTTTATTTCTATCAACTTATATATGTGACTATATGTATCACTTGTTTTTTTTAAATAAATTTTGCGGCTATATTGATCTTAAAGATTTGGGCTATGAAGAAGTAGGAGACATATGGACAGTATCTTTGAAACAGACTGAAGAAAGTACAGTACACATTCAGAATCATCAGGGAAAAGTGATATCAATAATGACTGAAAATGAAATTACATCCTTGAATGAAGCTGGGGATTTTCATTAGTGGGGGCACCCATGCACGACCTTATGGTTGACCTTCACTGATGAAAGGGGTAATCCATCAATCCCTGATTATCTTCATATCTATGGTGCATGTCATTTCTCTTTTTTTCCCCAAAAAATATTAATCATCATGTTTGTAGGCTGTAGTATACTTGTATATTACTCCGCCTTAAAGGTACTTTTTAACTTTTGTGATAGTAATACTCATTTAGTTTAATGATGATACAAATGATCAAATAGTCAAGCTACATTTGTTTGGTGCTTTGTTTCATCAGAGAATAAAGGGTTGAGATTGGGGTTGTTTTTTGGTTGTTGGTGTTATCGGTTCGGAGGTGGGTTGTAGAACTGGGTGTACTCTATCGTTCAAGTTTCAAATTTAGTTACTGTTAGAAATTGACTCCAAAGCAGTTGCCACTGGAGTGTACATGTGTGATAAGCCATTGTGGCTCCTATCAGATGTTGACAAAGCAATTCATAAGGATGCAGTACATAAATTGTCATGTGCCCAGCAGAAGGGTGCTGAGTTATAGCTAGAAAATACAATGCTCAAAATACACACCTAAATTTTGATATTTCTTTTGCTCTATTTGTTTATTTATTTACACAAAACATTTCATTCTATATCAAAATTGTTAACACTCCAGTGAACTTCTCTTCATATACATTATATTTTTAACTTTCATTCATAAACATCAAAGAGATATAAATTTGAGTTAATGCCCTCTTTCTAGGGACAGTCACACAACAATGTAGCATTGTTTATGGTCCCTAGTCCATGGGATGCTGTAAATGAAACCTGGAATATGCACCATTTTGTCTCCCCAGGATGCTGCTCTAATTTAGCCCTCTCTTCCTGTCTGGGAGAATTGTTTTGTCAAGATAATTATCAAATACTTCCTGCAAAGAAATGGTATAGATGGCTGTTCCTCTGTAAGAAAAACCTGTTTTCATGGGTTTCTACTAGGAGGAAGTTGTTGTAAAATAAATTAAGAGGAGGCACTACTGTAATTTACTCAAAACTTTTGTTTCCTGACACGTTTGCTGGTTGCCATAATTTAATTTCGTAATTAAATTATTTTACAGCTTGTAACTGAAGTGAACTTCTTCCACTCTTTAAGTTCACAAAAGTTTCATGCAAGCGAAGTTTTATAGTTCTTTGCCATCATGTTTGAATATGTAGCCAGGTACATTGTACTTAACTTGGAACAAATTTGATGGCAAAAATTCACTTCAATTGTAAAATAAAGTGAAAGAGGATGTCATTTAATAACACTGACTTGTGCAAGGATTTTCAGAATAAATGTGTTTGAAGACAAATATTTATGAAAGTGAAAGAATACAAAATTCGGGTGTTCTGCGTACAACAAAAAACCCAAGTTTTGTATTCTTTCATCAATATTGATCTTTAAATACATTTGTTATTGAAAATCCTTGAAAATTTGGGTTTAAAATGACATCCTGTTTCACTTCATTACAAGTGGAATTACAGCTTCCTCTTTCTTACCATTTTTGGACTTGAGTTTGGATTTTACAAAGACTTGTTTATACTTAACACATTTACTTACTTTCTTATCATTTGAAATGTGTTTTATATGTATGTTTTTTAAAACTTGTATTTATGGATTTCAAAAATAAAAACAAACAAACAAAGTCCTTTAGACCTGCATGAATGAAATGTGATAGTCTTTTTGCACACAAGCAAGTGAACATTATTTTGTATTTTCATGAGAAACAGATCATATGACATAATGAAGAAGAAGGCTAAAGATAGAGAGGGATGGAGAAAAAACTAAAGAGAGCTTTGGTGTAGTGGACCTGCTTTGGCAGAACAACCTGGGAATGTGTGTGTGGGTGCAGCTGTATGCGTGTGTGAGAGAGAGAGGGAGAGAGAGAGAGAGAGAGAGAGACTTTAATCTTTATTGATTACATGAGAATCTTGACAAAGGAATGTCAGCTGTCTTGTTCTCTTATAATAAAGAATAGCACAAATAAATAACCCTCAAAATGGTGTATTTTATATAAATGAAAGATACCCAATCCCTTAAACAGACCGCTCCACCTTCAGCGGCAGAGGCACATTTACATTTTGATGTTTTTTATCTTAAGACCCGGAAACATGTTAAATTGTATGAATTGATGTCCTTTTTACTCTTAGCCAATAATAACTTTTCTTTCATATTTTGTCATATCTGTCTCTTCCTTTAGGTGATGCAATGGTCAGTAAAGGTCAGCGAGAGGAATCGTTTCATTATCTAGTCTTGACCAGTTTAAGAGGAACCAGATCGTATGCAACATGTCTCACTTTCTATCGACAGTTTATAGTTCACAAGGTAAGACCATCACTGGAATGAAACAAACTTGATTGAATATATCACTTTTATGATAATATTCAATATTATCATCATCAACATTTTTTGGCAAAGAGTCAAGGAAGTAATTTGACAGGAAAGGGTAATTGTTAACCAGAAACCAGTAGCGGAGAAAGGAAAAGAAGAAGGAAAGAAGGAGAAGACAACATATCAGAGAGGAACGGATAAGATAGGGGAGGATGGAGGCCTGAAGGGGCAAGACAATAGTATAGGTTAAGTTTGAGGGAATGTAGGGAGGGGGGGGGGGGGGGGGGGGGAGAGGATGGGGAGGAGCAAGAGGGAAGGTATGCAGTGTACAGGTTACAACTTTACAAGACACAAGATACAAGATATTTTATTTGGTGTTTGCAAACAAGTTACATAGAAATTTGGTTTCCACTGGCTTCATAGTAATATTCAAGAAAATACATCATTACAAGAAATAATTACATCACGTTTATAGAAATAGATGAAATAAGGAACAAATACATGCGAAAGATAATGAAGTGACGAAAATAGTCCCTACCTACACTATTTTGCAATAAAATAATATGTTTATGTTCCCAGGGTAGATTTGTGTGCAGATCGTTAGTTAATTGCTTGGTTTGTTTGCCAAGGCAGGCATGAGTCATGTCTTTCTGATTTCAATCAAATGGTTCCTATATCACACCTATGGGAATATCATAAGTCAGTAGTCACAGGTTAATCTGTTGTTTTGTTATATAAACTAATCTGTTTCAGTACCCTGATGAGGATTTCTACAGCTTGGAACCCAAGACATCCACCACTGTGCAGAACAATCAGAAGGAAGGCCATGAACAGGACATGTGCTATGTACCAGCATGCATTGTCCTCATCTCACCAAACCCTTACTTTACAGTCATGAGGGAATGTTTGTCAAGGTGAGGTCAAAGGTCATACAATAGGAGGATTTAAAAAAAAAAAACTTATTATTTAATTATTATTATTATTACTTGTTATTTAAAGAATTGGCTTTTATATAATCAAGTTTTGACCTTTGGTCAGAATAACAATGTTATGCTTTTCTTTCTTGGAAAATTTTTGATAAGATCAATGAGGGTTCATTTTCTTCAAATCTTCTCTTTATAGCCAGAAGGTACATGTAACTCTGTGTTTAACTACAGTGTATATGAGTTACAGGGACTTTGTAACATTGTTCAGATGAGAGATAGTGGTGCTAAGGTAGTGACTTCAATGCTAGATGTACAATTAAAGATAATCTGAAAATTTGAGCGAAAACGGACCATTATTCATGGTACAAATTGGGAAAAACTGATCCGATCGATTCCTTAATTCTCCCAACTATATTATTACAATTTAATTACATTTAACGTGAATGGAAATCTCACAAAGCAATAAAATGGCTCTACATTCCATTCCAGACATTTTAGTGTTGACAGATTTTTTATAGTCTGTTTTTATGTCTTTTTTTCATGGAAAACAATTGGGAAAATTCAAAAATGGTTGGGAGAATTTAGATTCAGAAGCGCCGCACATCGATGTTCGAAAACCCGTTGAACTTTGTTAAAAATCTTCATATTGCGTGAATTAATTTCGGATTTGGGGCATCGTAGTGGGATAATCCATACATACAAACATAATTTTACGTGTTTTGCATCCTGATTCAACAGATTTGTGAAATCAACCATCACAATGTTACTAAGTACCTTTAAAGGTAAAGACCAGTTATGGTCATGCGATTGCATCGTGAAAGAAACGTTGTGGAATCGATCAGAAAAGGTTGATCATCTAGCATCTAGCATCTGCAAGGTTCTGGAATCATCAAAATGATAAGAAATTTGGCCCATTCTTCGTAAATTTACAAGCACTATACACAGAAAGAGGTATATGGGACTACCCTATATCTCTCACAGACCATGAGAGAAACAAATTTACCAAATATATGAATTAGTAGGCGGTTTCCCGGCAAATTTGTTATCATCATGTATTAGTCAAAACATATTCTTTCACATGATTGGTAATGAGAGCTTCCATTTCATTTTTTGAAATTGGGGCGTTTCCAATACTGGTCTTTACCTTTAACACTCTTCTGGCTCTCAACAGTCAATGTATCTAGGGTTGATGAACCGATAATGAAGTCATTGCCATGGCTGTCCAAAACAAGCAGACCAACAATCATTAATTCTGCTTTTTACTGCTCAAGAGGTTCCTTCCAAGATTTCCTCGCTATCTGTCTGTTGATACACATCTGAAAAAGATGGCTAGTCTGCAAGTTCAGACTATTTTTCTATGTTGAAATTAATCTACATGTATGTGTACTACTTAGTAGTAGCATATTATTTTTCACAAGTGTGTTCATAACTTCATGCTATTTGCAATTTTTGGGAAATGTTTTCAGTCATCTTGTTTTAAAGGTACTATTTCCCGGCCAAAATAAGGTTAGAAAGACATTACTAATTTAGAAATTCCCTCAAAACGAAAGGTCCATTAGTTGTCAAATCAAACTTAAGTGATTGTAATCACCTAAGTAATAGTCTGATTTTCAGACCCTTCCTATATGTTTGATACTTTCTCTTTAGTCTTACATACGTTTTTTCTTGCTTGTCTTGTAGTCTGGTCCCAGATCTGTATGCCAAGCCTCAGAAGATGAATGTGTTACTCAAAGAGTTTACCTTACAACTCCTCATCATACCTACACCTCCTGCTGGAAATCTTTACATCGTGAGTATCATTAATATTGAATGTACATTTAGGTCTTGTTATCGTACTCTCTCTCTCTCTCTCTCTCTCTCTCTCTCTCTCTCACTCTCTCATAGCTATCTCCTTTCTCTATCTCTCTCTCTCTCACTCTCTCTCTCACTCTCTGTCCCTCTTTCTCTCTCTTTCCCTCTTTCTCTCATGCACTCATTGTTCTCTCTCTTTCTCTCTATCTCTATTTCTCTCCCTCCATCTCTCTCTTCTCCCTTCCTCTGTGTTGCATAGCAACATCCCTAGGATGATTTATCTTACATGTATGTACTGACTTGAACTATGTTATGTTTTCAAATTTTTAAGATTAATGTATATTTTTATAAACTCAAATGTGATTTTCTGTTATTTTATTGTGAATCGAAATGCAATTCAGCTTTCTGGCTGCTATGTATCATTTTTGATAAACCGTTTTTACTTCAATTGAAGTCATATTTCCAGTATATATGAATTTATTTATAAGCATTTATTTCATAATCAAAATAGACGGTGGTACAAATACATCAAAATTGTACAGACGTATATCACAAATATTAGTTAAATGGATATGAATTAGATATAAGCCTTGTTTTTATCATATGAGAATGATGTGGTTTATGTGGAGTATATTGATGACAGAGGGCTGTGGACTAGAGTCGGTGAGAGAGAGAGAGAAAGAAAGAGAGTTATGTATTTTGTAGCATTTTTAGGAAGAAATAGCTGCCTTTCAAGTTTCAATTCATCATACCCACCTCTCTTGCTGGAAACCTTTATAATGTGTAATTCTTTCATGGTATTGTGATTATTCTATTCTGCAGCAATGTGAGGGAATTCTTTTTATATATTATACATAACATTAGGACATAATAGGACAGTACAGAATAGCCTACATTTTGTCTTGTGTGTATGTTGTATTTAGAGACCATAGTTGATGTTTTTAGAGGTTTTCTTAAAAAGCAATATCAGTCTTTTAGTAGAGCCTCAAATCAGTTCTTTGGTCTACCATTGCAGAAATTACATTGACAGGATAAAATACTTTCTTTCATTTTTTGGAACCATGCCCATTCCTCCTAGGCTTGATGCCATTATATACGTGTTGTTTCGAGTTGCAAAGACTTTGTTTCTCTTAATGTGTCTTTCTTTCTCTTTCCTTTCCTGTAATTAAGCAATTATATGATTATGTCATCATTTTCAGAACAGATGTTGATTCTATTGGATATAATTTTGTTATTGCATTTGTGAGTGACAATGTTGTACAACTGTAGACTTACATGTATATGGAATGAAAGAAGAATATAATGGTAGATTTAAAACAGACTGAAAAGAAGGGGGGAAATGAAAAAGAGAGATGAAATAAAATTTGATGCAATGAAATAAAGAATTATAAATTGAATATTTATCTTTCAAATGTAAACTGTACATGTGAGAGAACATGTATAATTTAATGTTGGAATTGTGATTCACCCACCAAGTTTTCAAACATATGTGTTGAAGTACTGCTCAGCATTCTCATTCAATATTCAATTTTTACATTATCAAGGCAGTGTAAGCATTCCATATCGCCCTAACTAGGCTGTCAGCTCCTAGCTAATGCCTGTGTATACCACGTCCTGTTGACTTCTTAATGATGTTTTTGTCATGTTCGCCTGGGAACAGATGCCATTACCAAGGTCTACTGAATCAGATATTAGTCTCAGACAACAGGCTTTTTCATGCACACAACATGGAAATCAAAGATAGATCTACTTACAATGTGTAGTATAAAGAGAAAGCTAGACTCTGTAACAGCCTTTTCAGGTTAAAAAAAAATGATAATAAAAAGAACTTTGACCTGTCAAATCAAGGTTGCTGTTACAAAATGTATTAGTCCCAATGAATGTGTCTTCCATGAACATTTGTTTATATCTTACAGCCTATCTTGATAGGAATCTTATACAATACCTCTAGCCTTATTTTTCTATATTTTGGTAGCTATTTATCAAGATATTCCTTAGCACAATATGATGAATGTACATTCAACTCATTCTCCATCAAAAGAACATGTTTATGCCTTTAGTAATGATTGTAGACCACACGATCTGCATTCATTTAAAAGCTTAATCAAAGGATTAGCTTGTGGCTGGACATCAGGATGTTGTGCCGTCAATCTGGTGGATATGTGAGAAAGAAACACAGAAACAGACATACAGGAAAACATGGGTTCATACAAACAAATGTGTAGGCACACACCAAAAAAGGGAGAGAGGGAGGGGGACAAGAAGAGAGAAAGAGAGAGAGAGAGAGAGAGAGTGGTAGATGGAGAGAGAGAGAGAGAGGGGGGGGGGGCAGAGGGTGAGAGAGAGAAAAAGAGAGAATTTTAATCATAGAGAAGTGAGGGAAACGAATACCTACTCAGAGAAGAGTAGTGCTCCATGCTTTATTTAATGAAAGATATAGGGTTAGGATTAGGGCAGGGGCTGCAATGGGTTTTAGGTTAGATTTACAGTTTAGGTGATAAATTGTACAACAAATTGGTTCCAGATTGAAGTTGATGTATTGACTTCTGAGCAATTGTCATTTGGGCATGTGTTAGAGAACCCATTTGTTTCTTTTATGTTTCTTTTTTCGAGATTGGTGTAAATTGTTTTCTTCAACTCTCACAATTAATTCATATCATTTTTGCATTGTCTTCCAATTAGTCCCTCATGTTGAATGAGTTCACCATCAGCATCCCTCCTCCAGACGATCCCGAGAAGCCGGTCGTCAACATCTCTCTCCATCTCCCGTTCCTCTGCTTCTCCTTGGACGACATCCTCAAGATCATCTCAGCCATCCTGACCCAGCAGAGGCTCATCTTCCTCTCACATGATTACTCTCTCTTGGTCCCAATTATTGAGGTTTGTGTGATGCTTTTCATTGATGTCCCTAATCCAGATTTGACTAGGGTCAGGCTATTAAGGCATATATTCCCAGTTGTTCATGTAATGTACAATATCAAGTGTAATATAGACTTTGTGGTATGTTCTGTATGCCCTCCATGTTACTCAAACCGTAATCAGAGTTGTGTAGCATAATATATTCCCATACTATATTCTAAGTCAGCTCAAAAGAGTTTGATGGTGTATGTTATGGGTTAGTACTTTCCTATTTTTTAAGTAAGTATTTCTTTTTTGTAAATACATGTGTATAAATTCTCTAACAGCTGATTTTAATAAGACAGAGTTGTGTCCTAATTATAAAGCATTAATTCAGAATGGTAAACACAAATGATGTTTTGAAGAGAGAATTCAACTGTTCTCCCATTATTTTTAAAAAGCTATTCCATCTTCATAATTATTTATCCCCCCCCCCCCAAATAATAGATGGTAAATAAGGTATTTAAATTTTATTGTGCCCCATTTATCTAAACATGATTAAGCCTTTAAAAATCCATATTAACTTGTGACTATCAAAATGATGTTGTGCTTTTGCAGGTCAAGTTTTGTTCTTCTCAAATAACCTTCATTATATCTTTCCCTATCTTGCGTGTAGTGTTTCTTCTCCTACATCCTGCCCTTCAAGTGGCCGTTTGTCTACGTTCCGGTGGTCTGCACTCAGCTTCTTGACCTGCTCGAGGCTCCAGGGTGCTTCATCATGGGCTGCCATAGCTCACATAGAAGCAGGATACAGCAGGTACGATGGACAGATAGTAGGAATGGAGAGGGAGAGAGAGAGCGAGAGAGAGCAAGAGAGAGAGAGAGCAAGAGAGAGAGAGCGAGAGATATGGTTGGAAGAAACAGTGTGGTAGATACATAAGAGGCTCCTGGATGCTTTATATTGGGCTGCCATAGCTCACATAGAAGCAGGATACAACAGGTTCGATTGACAGATAGCAGGAATGGATTGATAGATGAATGGAGAGTGAGAGAGAGATGGAAGGAATGAACATAATAGTTGAAGAACACAGTGTTAGATACATGTAGATTCATAGGAGGCTCTAGGATGCCTCATCTTGGGCTGCCATAGCACACACAAAAACAGGTAGGATTGACAGATAGTAGGAATGGATTGATAGATGAATGGAGAGTGAGAGAGAGAGAGATGGTATGAATAAACATATAATAGTTGAAGAACAGAGTGGTAGATACATGTTGATGCATAAGAGGCTCCAGGGTGCTTCATCATGGGCTGCCATATAGCACACATAGAAGCAGGATACAATGGGTAGGACTGACAGATAGAAAGAATGGATCGATAGATGAGTGGAGAGAGAGAGAGGGGGGATGGTAGGAATACACATGACAGTACAAGGCGAAAAAATAATACACATAATTAAACATTTACAACTACAACAAAACAGGATAAGTATACAATGGAAAAAATACAATGAACAGTCATTTGTAATAGCTATGTAAGTTTGGGCAGTTGAAACATTGACTCAAGTATCTTGTATAATAATATTTTTATAATTATTATCCAGCAATAACAGATTACAGTGCTCTTCAAAGCATAGAGGACACTATTCAACAGCTAATTTCCCCTCTCTCTTATAGATTGAAGGACTTGTTATAGCTGACATAGAGAAAGGCACTCTTCATGAATGTCCTACATTGTCTGTTCCAAGTCTGCCTAAAGCACCTGCAGAAGGGTTCAAAAAGCAGTAAGTCATATTTTCGATTCACAGCCAGAAGGGCGTTAATTCATGTACTTTAACAAAGAGTAATATTTATTTGTATTGAATTGATTTCCTTGTGCCATTGTTTATGTTATGCTGGTTCGGATAAACAAAGAAACATTATCTATATAATCATGAATAAAGTCCACTCTTATTTTGAATGATAGTAAATGACTTATAGAATACCACTTTAATATTGTGTTTACTCTTCACTGTATTCCGGTACTCTGTTTTAAATTCTTTACAGCTCTATCTGTTTTATGTAGGTCTCTATTATGTTATCCCTGGCTGACTGTTTCTATTTTTCTGTGTCTGGCTCTGTGAATTTGTTTTTGTTCATGTATTTGGGGGATACACTCCCCCACAAAATAAAGCAATCATCAAATTTCTTCTGTTCTATGTGACAAATATCAAGATTCTCACAAACATAATTTGGAGCAAACATTGCCCTAAAGTGGAGTGTTATACAAATAAGACATGATATGACATTATCTTTATTGCACTATGTATTTGTATTCCCATTCAAAATTATGGCTGTTGTTTTCCAGGAAAGGCTTGTTGATTTGTCCATATCTTAAGACCACAACCATCAGATATTCCTTATCATTTTGACTCTTGCCTTTTACCCAGTGCCTGTACAGTAAACATCTTCATCTTTCATTTGTTTGTCTGTCTCTACCTTCTCTCTCTCTCTCTCTCTCTCTCTCTCTTTCTCTTGCCCTCTCTTTCTCTTTCTATTGCTTACTCTCTCGCTCTCTCTCTCGCTCTCTCTTTGCCTTTATCTTGCACTCTCATTCTCTCTCTTTCCCCTTCTCTTGCTCTCTCTCTCTCTCTCTCTTTCTTTTTATCTTGCTCTCTCTCTCTCCTTTTATTGCTCTCTATTTCTTTCTCTTTCTCTTGCTTTCTCCCTCTCTATCTTGCTCTCACTTTCTCTTTCTCTTGCTCTCTCTTTACCTTTATCTTGCTCTCTCTTTTTCTTTCTTTTGCACTCTCTTTTTCTTTCTTTTGCACTCTCTTTTTCTTTCATTTGCACTCTCTTGCTCTCTCTTTCTCCTGCTTTCTCTTTCCCTTTCTCTTTCTCTTGCCCTCTCTTTCTTTTTCTCTTGCTCTCTCTCTCTCTCTTGCTTTCTCTTTCTCTTGCTCTCTCATTCTCTCTCTCTCTCTCTCTCCCCCCCTCTCTCTCTCTCTCGCTCTCCCTTCCTCCCTCTCTCTCTATCTCTCTCTCTCTCTCAAATAAATGAAGGTTCTACCATGCACGCGTGAAGTACTACGAGCTCTCCACACTGGGTCGGACTGTCCCTGCCACGCTGGAGATGGAGAGAGCAAGACGACAGAAGATAGACAGACAGTTTCAGCAGGAGATCCTTGATAGCTTTCTGGAGATGTTTGTCCACATATTCAGGTAATAAACAAAATGATGATAATACAAACAACGATGATCGCACAAACAATATAACTTTTATTGGTTGGGGTAATCATAACATGTAGTGACATGTATTGACCTTGAAATTGAGTAGGTATAGAAAACTAAATTGAAGATTGGTATTTAGGTAATAAAATAACTATGATAATAAAAACAAAATAACTTTAATTGGTTTGGGGTAATCATAACATGTAGTGACATGTATTGACCTTGAAATTGAGTAGGTATAGAAAACTAAATTGAAGGTTGGTATTTAGGTAATAAAATAACTATGAAAATAAAAACAAAATAACTTTTATTGGTTGGGGTAATCATAACGTGTAGTGACATGTATTGACCTTGAAATTGAATAAGCACAGGTAGAAGCCGAAAGAGCAAGTTATGGTGACTAAAATTTGATTTATTGATTATTCTTAATGATCTGACTTACAGTGAAATAGAAACAGGCGCTTTTAAGATCAAGTAAATATCCCACTTAATGTCTGTTTATTCATGCAGTTTCATAGAAAAGCCAATTGAATTTTGAGCTTTGGGACTTGTGCAATTGAAAGAGTTTGAGGTATGAGGGTTAATTAAGTATGTGATTTATCTCGTTCGACAACCTCTTTTAAGGGACAAGCCATCATTGGAAATTAGATTCTACAAAGTCATGCTAAAGTTTAATGGTGAGATATCACTTTTGTAATACATAATGAACACAAATAGTGGTGTAAATCTACATGTTTTGTTTGTTTTAAGTTTTGTAACAAAGGTAGAGTTAGAGAAGAAGGTACCGTAATTAACGGTGTATAAACCACCCTCGTGTATTAACCACACCCCTCTTTTTCGCCCTAAAAAAAAAAGCCAGGTCCGTGTTCAAAAACCCACCCATTGATTTGTGAAAAGGCCCCGGGAAGGTCTTTCATATAACTGCGAGGTGCAGCTGAATGTGTAAGATCATTCATGTAAATTAAAAAACAGTAGAGGACCTAGGATAGAACCTTGTGGTACGTTGTTCAATAGAAGAAAAATTGGAGGAATTATTATTATAAACTACATATTGAGATCTATCAGCAAGATTACTTTCAAACCAAGATGACAGACAAATTTGAATGTTGTTCTAGTTTCCGAGTGGTGAGTCAAAACACTGATTACTGAGCTGGGAGACATTGCCAGGCATAGCGCCAGATGGAGGGTATAAGACGCACCACCGAATTTTATTTATTTTTGGCGGCAAAAAAGTGTGGTTAATACACCGTTAATTACGGTAAATCTAATCACTGTTCAAAATTAACACAATGTGTGGAATAAAATGTGTTTGATAGATGTATTCAAACAAAGGTCAGAACCGGCATGAGATTTTATTTTTAATGCAAATTTTCAGAAATATGCATCCAATAGCTGGACAATGCACCCTTCACACAGGCACATGATATTAGTTATGAAATGAAGGAGACAGATAATGTTTACCATAATAAATTATCTGTTCAGTATAAATTCTTGTTGTTCCTCTCACACAGGATTGTAGTTTGGGAAATTTTAATTATTTTCTTTGTGATAAATTTTGGTTAAGTTTTGCATCATTTTAGAAAACAGGCTCATTGACACAGGCTTACCCTTCCTATGCTAAACAATAATCTTTTCAGTATCATTTGAGCATTCAGAATAGTGACTGTTCTTTTTTAATATAGACTGGTTCAGAAGTTCAGAAGCCTTTGTGAAATGAAAGTCTCTAAATTAACAAAGATCTGTTCTCGGCATGAAACTAAAAATTGCAAAAATTGACATTGTAATCTAACCATTTTTTTTTTAGAGCTTTCTATCTGCTTCACAAAATCTTCTTGACTCATAGTAATGATATCATAATGTTACTATTGAAGATAATAATGATGAGAAGCATTTAGTTTCCTTTTAAATGTTCTTTCATTGATCAATTTATGATGTGAAATATCAACCAGGGAGCTTCCAGAGTTCATGAGCATGGATCAGCGATGGTTCAAACTGGAGGAGTTTGTTTCCTCCCGGGCGGAGGAAGAGAAGGACTTCTATGCCGAGATGGTCCACTCCCACATGTTCAAGCCGTTCCGGGAGGACCGTCTGGACCAGAAGAAGGACTACTACGCCCAGATGGAGAAGAAAATTCGTCCACCGAGTCTCAACGTGTCCAGCGTTGTGGACCAGGGCAGGTACGTATGGTCACTAACAGGGCCATTCTTAAAGGCATCGTTTAATAATGTTAAATCTGAGATGCATGGCCCTACATGTACGTGTTATCAGTGTCTTAGAAATGATCATCAAGTGCCTCAAAAAAGTAAAAATCTTTGAGTGACCGGTTTTACCATACTCATTTTCCCCAATAGACTGTAGTGTTATGAAAACTGTTAGGAAAACAAATTTCAAAATTTCAATTTCCAATCATAAATATCTTGATAATCAGAAAGGCCATCGGCTTGTAAATTTCATGGGGTTCCTGACTGACCTAAAGATTTATAATGATCATTGCAGCATGAGCTGTATCCAGAATTTTGTTTCAGAATCTGAGACAAAGTTACCCAATCCCTTTAATGACTGATTCGTGTATAATGCTCTTAAACACTTCCCATAGAGTACGGAGGTGTGACGTCATACTGGCCAAGTTGTCAAGGTTGTTGGTTTCTAAACAATTTAGTGTTAAACAATGGTGTGGTGGTCGAACCAGCCCGAAACGCTGAATTTGCCCTGCTCCAGCCCGTTGCTTGAGTGATTTTGCAGTGAACCTCATGGGCAGGCTCTGTTGTTTAGAACCAGTAACCTGGACGACGAGCAAATTTGATGTTAGCATTTCGGTACTCTATCAAGTCCAAAGCGTATAATTTTTTACCTGGTAATGACCTTAAATATGAATATTCAAATTTTGAACCAATGTAGGTGATGATAGAATAACAGTGAATCACATAGTTGAAAATGTGGAAAATAAAAATACCTTAAGAACTTATTAGAATCGGTTTACTTTACAAGAAATGATACAATTTACTATGCTTTTTTATATCTAAAAAAACACATCACATTTCCATAAATCACAATAGTAGTCTGCATTCAATAGTATATTGGGTTTTTTTCTTCAACAACTGTATATAACTGTATATATCAACACTTAAAGGTACAAAATCAATATAAAGTATTTTCATTGATCAGGCTTTCTAGATATGAGACCTTATAGTGGTCTATTAAATCCCAATTTGCCCTTCCCCCTCTAAAATCCTAGACAGATTAGACTTCAGTACACCCGATGTCATCCCTGAGAAATATTACTTTGCTTTCATTGAAATATTACAGCCAGTTTCTCTATCTGTTACACCTAAACACAACACCATCAATTTTGTTTTCTTCTGTCATTTGTAGACTTCGTAAGCAGCAGAGTACAGGACAGGCTATGCCTGATTTGAGACGACGCAGAGTATCCGATGGAAGGAGTTTCAGCGACACAGGTCAAAGTTCATCTGATCAGACTGCGCAGTTCATGCTGCCTCTCTTTCATATCCCATACACTTCAGGTAATTCATAAATGTCTGGTCTGTGAAAAGCTATTTGTTTCATTTTTTTTTTTTTTTTTTTTTTTTTTTGTTCACCTTCATGGAACAGACAGGAATTGGGAAATGGGATTTTTAAAATGAATGTAACTTTTTACTGTCCTTTGAACTGTAATACAAAATAAACCCAATGTGTTATGTTAACTAAAAATTACTATGAAGTTCATCAATGGTATTTGAGTAGAGGTGTTGTGGTCGAGTGGATACCTCAGCGGACTGTCGATCACAAGGTCTGTGTTTCGAGTCCCGCCGTGGCACCAATGTCCTTTGGTAAGACATTGATCTACATTTGCCACACTCAACCAGCGCCGTAATGGCAGCAGTGCTAAAGCCAGGGTAATAATCGGGAGCGCCGGGAGGGTCAAGTCTGACAGTGTTGAGCACTATACAAGAACCCAATATTATTATTATTATTATACATTTTTAAATAAGGCAGTTTTTCTAATAAAGCTCATTTGACACGCTGAATGACTTTAATATCGTATTACTTTGATCTTACTTTCTTTTGGGGATGCATTTTGATATAGAGCTATATATTAGTGTTGAGCCTTAGATTGATAGTAACACAGTGCTATACTGCCTTGATTTATGCGAACATTTTTTTATCAAGATTTGATATAGAATTTGAATGAAAATGCTGATTGCTGTAGTTCTGCATGTGTATTATCGATATTTCCTCAACAGATAATGAAAATGATGAAGGCATCAAAACAGTAGAGTTTCCGTCAGAAAAATCAGGTCTGTCATCCAAAGCTGGAGGAGTGGCTATTTCATTTCTCAAAATACTTGATGATTCCTTCTCTTGCATCATTGCCAGCACTATATATGAATTATTGGATTGATTCTGTCCAAGTGTATTTGCGTGAAAGTCTCTTATTTTCTTGCATCATTACCAGCACTATATATCAGTTATTGGATTGATTCTGTCCAAGTATATTCACGTGAAAGTCTCTTCTTTTCCTTGCTGACATCTACAATAGTAGATTTGGCAAACTATCTTCAAGTATCACATGATATACACATACTTGTAGTCTCCATGGTAGCATAGACTTTTGCCGTGGTTGTAAACTTGCTCATTTTGAAGCATTGTATATTCCTTCATAGTATGGAGCTTCATTTCATTACCTTAAATTGCGTTCCATATTTTCATGACATTCTAATGATTTTCACTGATTCATACTCATTTTATACACATATATTGTCAGTTATTGTCAGAGCCAAGGGAGCGTAGATTAGTTTGAGTTAAGACACTTCCGGCTCCCAACAAATTATTGACTGTTTATAGTCTTTTCCATGTCAATATAGGAAAACTTTTAACTTTTGGGGGACCTTTTTATGCCTCCGCCACCGAAGGTGGTGCCGGAGGCATCATGTTTTGGGGTTGTCCGTCCGTACGTCCGTACATCCGTCCCGTTTGACCGTTATCACAATATCTCAAGAACCATTTAAGATTTAAACTTAAGACTCGGGAATAGTATTTATCACCATAGGAAGACGATCTGATTAGATTTTGGAGTACGTAGGTCAAAGGTCACAGGTCACAGAGGTCAACTTATGAAATTCCTTGTATTGAGTTTGTTAGCGCGAGATCTCAAGAACCATTTGAGATTTAAACTTCAAACTTAAGGATAGTATGTATCACCATAGGAAGACGATCTGATTAGATTTTGGAGCACGTATGTCAAAGGTCAAGGGTCACAGAGGTCAACTTATGAAATTCCATACATCGAGATTGTTATCATGATATCTCAAGAACCACTGGAGATTTAAACTTCAAACTTAGTGATAGTGTGTATCACTATAGGAAAACAATCTGATTACATTTTGGAGCACGTAGGTCAAAGGTCAAGGGTCATAGAGGTCAACTTATGAAATTCCATACATTGAGATTGTTATCATGATATCTCAAGAACCACTGGAGATGTAAAAACTTCAAACTTAAGGATAGTATGTATCACCATAGGAAGACGATCTGATTAGATTTTGGAGCACGTAGGTCAAAGGTCAAGGGTCACAGAGGTCAACTTATGAAATTCCATACATTAAGATTGTTATCATAATATCTCAAGAACCACTGGAGATTTAAACTTCAAACTTAATGATAGTGTGTATCACCATAGGAAGACAATCTGATTAGATTTTGGAGCACGTAGGTCAAAGGTCAAGGGTCACAGAGGTCAACTTATGAAATTCCATACATTGAGATCGTTATCGCGATATCTCAAGAACCACTGGAGAATTTTCACTTCAAACTTAATGATAGTATGTATCACCATATCATAATATCTCAAGAACCACTGGAGATTTAAACTTCAAACTTAATGATAGTGTGTATCACCATAGGAAGACAATCTGATTAGATTTTGGAGCACGTAGGTCAAAGGTCAAGGGTCACAGAGGTCAACTTATGAAATTCCATACATTGAGATTGTTATCATGATATCTCAAGAACCACTGGAGATTTAAACTCCAAACTTGTTTAAATTGCTCTATGGCGGAGGCATCATTTTCGACTGCGCGCAGTCAAAATTCCATCTAGTTTAACTTTAGTTTGGCAAACAGAATTTTTTGTTTTACCTAGATGTATGAATAAAATTACAGAAAAATAGGGCAGGGGAGAGAGAGGGTGTGATAGATAGGAAAGAGATATACAGAGAGAGAGAGGGGAGAGAGAGAGAGAGAGAGGGAGAGAGAGAGAGGCAAAGAGAGAGAGAGAGAGAGAGAGAGAGAGTTGAATAAATTTATTAAAATCATTGTTGTGGCCACAGGCCAAATTGATAAAAAAATTGTACATTTGAGTAAATTAAAACAAGTATGACCTAGCATTGAAAGCTCTTGCTTATTTCAAAATATACTTTTCATATGCCTTCAAATTCTTCTGCTGTTCTCAAGTATATCTATCCTACACAGCAATGGAAATTGTATTTTAGAAACAACTTTCTGAGCCCTCTTCTGCATTTTCTCCTATTCTTATGTATTTAGAAAGACACAAGTTGTCACACCAATAAATTTTCGCAGTTTACAATAACATTGTACCGTTGGGCTTTAAAAGGGTCTGTTTGCTATCTATAAGAGTATGTTCAGTCCGAGTCATGAAAAGAACTAGGTGAGAGAAACGTACTCAATGATTTAGACAGCTGTGCTGTTTGTAGTATAGATGAAGGGATCGCAGGGAAGCAGGGTGGTTAAGGTACAGTGTGTTATCAGTCAAGAAGCTGCTGGGAGCTGAATGGAAGCAGGGTCAAAGCTCTTGGATGGGTGCTGCTGGTATTGCAGACTTGCAGATGGTGATTGGTATTGGTGATTGGTATACAGATAAAAAAAAAATTCTTCAAAGATTTAAATCTTGCTCTGTTGTAAGTTTACCAAACATTCAGAAACTACATTCAGTTTTCTCTCATGTAAACTGTATACAGTCATATGCCTTTCTACTTCAATGTCTTATCTATTATAAAATGTATTTTGGATTACTATACAGTGCGTCCCAGAAAAAACGAAACCGAGAATTATCGATGTTTTATCATAACTTAGTCACATTTATAATTACTAAATGACACATATTTGGAAAGTTTAGAGCCTCTTTCATTTGATGCAACTCATATGATGCATATTTCACGCATGAGTGATTAAAATGAATTTGAAGAGAGGAAACCAAAAAGTCATTTGGCGGACGGTATCTGAATTTCAAAAAGAAAATCACATTTCTAGAAAGTTCATGCATGGCTGATTGTCAAAGAAACGGAGTTAAGTCTGTTGTCAACTCTGTTTATTGCTTCTGCAGGCACCCAGTGAAAACAAATTTGTTTGATAAAATTATGGAAATGCAAGCACTACTTTAAACAAACAGAACTTTTTTATTCCTCGCTCATTTTTCCTGATTGGGTGTCATCTGAAAGGGCAGAAACTCAATTTTCTAGAAATGTGATTTTCTCCTTGAAATTCAGATACCGTCCGCCAAATGACTTTTTGGTTTCCTCTCTTCAAATTATTTTTAATCACTCATGCGTAAAATACGCATCACGTGAGTTGCATCAAATGAAAGAGGAGGATCTAAGCTTTCCAAATATGTGTCATTTATCAATTATAAATGTGATTAAGTTATGATAAAACATCGATAATTCTCGGTTTTGTTTTTTCTGGGACGCACTGTATATTTCGATTATAAAAAACTATATGCATATTTTATTCTGAAATCTTTATGCAGCCCAACATTTCTTCACCAAATGTATTGAGCAGCTGGACCATTCCATTGAGGTAAGGAGTAGTCCTGAATACTTTAAACCCCTCACAAATCTTAGTTACCGGTAAACCTAAGAAAATCCTTGACACATTTTCTGCTTTATACTTTTACCAAGAGCTATTAGTGGCGTAATGTTTTTAATTTATGTAACAGAGAAGTTAAAAAAACCTAATCATGGCACCCAATTTTTTAAATAAAGTTTTGGCACCCTCCGTTTTTTCCATCACATTGAAACATCAAGCAGCGTACTGCAATTTAAAACTTATTACATGCCTATTGGTACCTTTAAGTGTCTTCCCATGAGTGATCACCGGTCAAGCTTAACATGTATAGAATTCTGGTGTTCAAACTCATTTTAAAATTACTCTTTTAATTTGAGATATAAAGCAACAAAGAGAAGTATTTTCAGTTATAAAGCGTAATTCATTTTTCAAACTCACCGAACCCATTCTCATCTACTCCAAGTACAACTGTAGAGCATTTCTTATTTTGCCACTCTTAACATGAAATCTGTTATTTCCTGAGATATTTTTAATTTCAATAAATACCTTCAAATAGTTGTAGAGAGGATTGTAAAGAGTTTTAGCATCCATTCTTGTCTTTCTCATGTATGGTCCTACAGAGCTGTAGACAGCCAGCTCTCAAGGCTTCCTACCTGTATCTAAGAGGGATGTTCCATGTAGCATGTAACTGCCCTCTCGATGCACTAGATGACTTCCATAATCTACACAAAGCAGACCTGTCTATCCTACCTACTAAGTGAGTTTATTGCAGATTAATAACATTTTGTTTTAGACATTCTCATGGACTATTGGCAAATTTGCTTCTAGATTTCATAGATATAAATTGTAGAATGATTGAGTTTTTGGTACAAGATTGATGTGAAAAATTTCTGCTGCATTGAAAACTTGTCTGTTTCTACAGTTTACTTGATGGTATGATTCATAATTAATTGTATTGATGCTTTGAATTATTTTAATTCTTTTCAAAATCAAATTATTTTTTCTCTCGATTGACTTATGGAGAGATTGTTGTCTTGCCAAGCTCAGGTTTAAATTTTGCATGAATAAAACTAGAATCTATTACACTGACTGATTTAAAGTGTTGACACCTGAGCACTTCTTCAAAATTGTAATGCGTCTGATGTAATGATATTCTCAATGGACTAATGCCACTTCTAACTCAAGTCCATATGGGGCAATACAAATGTGATATTACCTATTCGACCATTGTGGAGTATCTTTGTAAATACTTTCTGTGCAGCCTGATCACTGAGCTGATGAACAACTTGAGTGCAGAAGACAAGGATCTCCTCCACAGAAGAGAATTCTACAAGAGAGGTGAGATCCTACGGAAGATCAGCGAGCGCCGTGCCGCACCTCAGATCACTGCCATGCCCAGTATCCAACCGGATGACCTGCCTGAAAAAGGAGAACTAGGTAAGCATGGAAATAGATATTTTCAGCCAGCCAGAATATGAATTAAAATATCAATATTACACATTCTGCAATATGACACCTGTTGCACTCGCTTACTATAACACCACACGTTGTCATACAGTACCACCCTAAAACCAGTCCTGGGCCCTGTCTTACAAAGAGTTGATATCAATTGCAACTATGTATATAAAAGATAGGAGACTGCAAACTTGCGATTGATTGGAGGACTTGATTGATTTGGATTAATCGCAACTCTATGCAAGACGGGCCCAGATATATTTACACATGTAGGCTTGAGACATGTTTCTACCTAGCCTATAGATATCACAGCAAGGATATTTCTTGTGATATTTTGTTGTATTCAAGGAGTGAGGGAGTTTACCTATTGGATGCTGTCTAGAGATTAGCTAAATTTGTATTACTGCAGAATCAGAAACTTTGATGACATGAAACTTTTTGTGAATTGCACAAATTTAGTGTAAGTGAATTGTGATTTAATTATTTTTGCATTGCAAAAATCTATTGTGAATCTGAACCAGGTATGAAATTAAAAGATATTTCATGCATTCAAAAATTTCTGATTTTACAGTATATAGTATTCAGATTTTTAGGTTTGAAAGAGTTTATCGACTGCATGCAGTTCTTTGAAATTATTTTAGTTTGAATATTTTTTTTTTCTTTTTTTTTCTAGGTTTGAGGGAGTTATCCACTCAGAGATTATTTTAATTTTCATAGTTTTTGGTATTTGTTTTTTCTAGGTTTGAGGGAGTTTATCCACTGGATGCAGTACTTAGAGATAGCCATTGATGTAGATGTGATTGACAGGCTGTTCAATGCTTTATCAGCAGGATCCAACTGTGAGTAGCAAAACAAATATATATTAACCTATTCTCTTCAAATATACTTTTGCACCCTTGTTGTGAAGTTTTTAAATCTGAGGACTCCCTTCTTCTTGCATTTATTTTGTCAATAAAATAAATGAACTGATATTTTGTTATACAAAACCAGTTGAATTACACCTGTAGACTATCTTGGCTCACTTTATTTATTTACACTAACAAATGTGTGACAATTCAAAGCTTGTTAGATTACAGGAGAGTAGAAATCTACAAGGAATGTACGCATATTTATTTTTTGCAAGAAATTTTTAAATAATGAGTCATGTAATCAATAAAAATTTAAGTCTTTTGGAGACTGTGATGTTACCTTAGAGTTATCTACAGTAATGAGGATCTGAGACATTATTACGGTAGATAATTTCACACAGGCGAGTGTCCGCCCGCAACCCACCATCGGTATGCACTTGTATTGTGCAGCGGTTTACTGTTAAACCTGTGAAAAAGTGGTTACTAATATCAATGTTTTTTTGAAAAATGCTCCAAATATATCATGAAAATTGACACGAAACAGGGAATAAACATAACGACTTTTAACTCATGATCTTTATTTGGACATTTGATTAATATTTACTTCATTTTGGGTATGTTTTAGTAGGGTATCTCCACGCCCGAGTTACGGATCAAATTTTGGATAGGTTTCTGAACAAGCGCCAAAGTAAATATAGAATGAGCAATCATGACATGAAAATTTGGTACAAAATGACAAGTTAATTGGCTTGTGAAGAAGTTTTCATTTTTCTGCCGAACGTCCGAACCAGGCCTTTGCGTTCGGTTCGGTTTGGCTCGGTTCGGTTTGGAAGTGCCATGTTCGGCGAAGTTCGGTTCGGCGGTTCGGCTACAGCACTACTTGAAACTACGAAGGCCTTGATTGACTTAATTTTACTACATGGTATATATGCTTCATCATATATTTCACAAAGTGTCACCTGTGTTTCAAACAAGTGAGACAATTCTGATAGCATAACATGCAAAATTTACTTTGATTTAAGTGTGTCTCTTGCTACTTATTTCTTGTCAGGGGTGCCAAGAAGTATTAACTATCCTGTAAACCAATCACTTTTATGGCAAGAAATCTGCATTTGCGCATGGACAATTCTAATGACCAGATTCAGTCAATTTTGTGGCATGAAACTTTTGGAAATCTGGGTCCCGTTTCGTAAAACTTATAAATAACAAATGCTAAATTTTTAACTTTGTCAAATTTGCTCTTGGCCAATCAAATGCCACAATTTCAATCACTTGTTATTGATATCAAGTTTTAAGACACACAACACTGGACCTTTTTTGGTGGAAGTTTTATCTTACCCATGTTCAGTACCCTAATTTCTCTTTCAATTCTCTTTGTGTAGTCCTTGATGCAGAGACTTTCATCTATTTCTACGAGGCATGGAAGGAAGGACTAGAGGAGACAAAGTCCATACCACTGAGTATCTACAAGGAATACTTGGAGAGCACTGAGAGTGTTCTCAAGATGTCTTCCTTAATCAGAACAGATCATGGCATGGGAAGATTGGTCTTGACTGAGAAGAGGTACAGTCATTTGGAGATAATTTTAGTTATGGCTTTGAGGAGGAAAATGACAATGTTTGAATATCATGTCATATCATTCTACTCATATCATATATAACAAGTGCCTGATAAGTAAATGGTTTGCCCTTAGCTTCTGATGATTTTTAGTGTAATTTTCTGTATGGAATACCACATTGAAATTACATGTACTGCTTGCTTAAATCTGTCTCTGCCTAATTTCATAGCACCGCAGCCACTTTTCTGTGCACACACACCTTTCCCTTTATTTTACACAGTTTAATGGCACTGTTGAATGTACATTACTCGCCAAATCTTTTAAGTGAAAGTGGAAAATGTCAATTTGTTTAGAAAGACAGGTTTTTGTCTGTGATTATATACAATCATATCAGAATATTCCTGCAATTTAAACTAAGATATGTGGATGTGAAGGATGTTGTTTTACCCGTCTTTCCCTTTGTCACTCCTTAGGTATAACTGCATGTCTTTGCATTCTCTGGAATGCAAATTTCCTGCAAGATGTATCCTGTATAAATTTCATATTTTCCTTATTTACTAGGCTCTTCTACATGGGCGAAGGCAGCAATATCTACAAAGAGATTGTGAGAGCCAGAGACATAGAGAAGTTGGAGAAGTTTGAATACTTCAACATCCTCCTCAGCTGCCAAGCCCTTAGGATATACAGCACCAGTAAGTAACACTAACCTCAGCATGTTATGTAACTTGACCGCAGAGCAATGGTCCCCGGAGAATGTGTCATAGATCCAGTCGGTGTTTTGTCACCTCATTCTGTACGTCGTTTACATGGTGGATAGACAATGTACTCTTTAGCTTATACAATGCAGGTTGTATCTAATTACCAGCTAATTTTTGAATTCCCACATGCGTTCAGTTTTAGATGTATGATAAACAGTTTGGCAAAATCTTTCATTTGTCATATAACATGCAAGAGGTAGCTAGTTTTATTACAAATATACAATTCATTAATTAAGTAGTAACAAAATGTACAAGCCATTTTTACTTTTCCTTTATGCTTTTATCATATTTTTGCACAGTATTGTTTGCCTGATTGTGTTTTGCAACATGGAAATGTGTATAATGTACACAAACATTGTATACAATGTTACAACATTACATCAAGCACTCATTTGATCACTCTTGTATATATTTACTCCATATTTCTTTACCAGAGCTCAATACGAGTCCATACGTTGCCAATTTGAGGGCAGAGCGTTAGAGCTGGTTCACACTGATCACTGAGCTGTGACATCAAGCACTCATTTGACCACTCTTTTGTATGTTTACTCTATATTTCTATTCCAGAGCCCAATACCAGTCCATACGTTGCCAATTTGAAGGCAGAGCGTAACAGTTGGTTCACACTGATCACTGAGCTGTGGGCCGGGCGTGTCATTGCCGATGCTCAGAAAGATCCTCAGGTAGTGCAGCAAGCCGCAAGGAATGTGAAGCTGATAGACTCGGTCATACGGAGTGCAGAGAATGAGGATGCAACTCACGCAAAGCATCTTGATAGTGCAGTATGGGTAGGTATTAGACGAGGGTCCTGTAATCAATTCTTAACAAGGGAGGTTTGATCGCTTAGTGGTAGAGCAGTGGACTTGTAAACGGGAGGTCCTGGGTTCATTGCGCCAGTGCCCTTTGATAAGGCATTAATCCTCATTACCAAGTCCCTCGAAGAGGACTTAAAGCCATTGGTCCCCTGGTTGCTAACTTACAAGCAGTCATGCTTTCTTAGCAGTGAAGTAAATCAATCAATCAAACAAACAAACTAAGTGGGAAATTTACTATTTTATTATCAAGCTATTGAACATATTTGCTTGGTATGAATCTCTCTATGCTCAGCAAAAGTCCTTTGAGCCTTTTTTGGCCCCCAACTTTTGTTACATTAAAACGCCACCGATTTTGTTCAGACTCTTTTAGTACCAAATTGCAAACTTGGCTCATGAATGGCCTCAAAGTACCTGTCCATAATTGTTTTCAGTAAAATATAATATAATATAATGATAAACTATCATGTTGTAACATTTTTATGCCTCCGCCACCGAAGGTGGTGCCGGAGGCATCATGTTTTCGGGTTGTCCGTCCGTACGTCCGTCCGAGTTTGCGATGGTATGCTTGTGTGTTTAGTTTTACGTATGAGATATCCTTGTGTGTCACTTTAGACTTGTGTGTCTAGCCACACAAGAAAACTATCATATTCAGTGTCTAAGATGTCTGACATGTCATTTCTAATCAACTAAGATTTAGTCACACAAGAAAAAATTTTCCCCAAAAAAGGCCCAAAATAAATGTCCAAATTTTAGAGAGGGGTTGTGTCCAAGTAGCCAAACGGAATAGTGCCATCTACAGTTGACATCCAGGTAGCTAGGTACTATGCGCATCTACAGTACTTGTGTGTGTGTGTGTGACTTGTTAGTGTGTAGTATTTGTAAGCAAAGTAGTAGGCAGTGTATGGCTCTGTGTATGTGTGTGTCATGGGTGGATGGTTTTGTGTGTGCAGTGTATATAATACATGTAATGTTTTTTTATGCCACACAAGCCTTAATTTTCTTGAATTGGACAGGGGTAGACAATAATGTCGTTCTGCCACACTAGCCTTAATTTTCATGACTTGGACAGAGGTATATAATACATGTAATGTCTTTCTGCCACACAAGCCCTAATTTTCTTGACTTGGACAGGGGAAGATAATAATGTCTTTCTGCCACACAAGCCTTAATTTTCTTGACTTGGACAGGGGTAGATAATAATGTCTTTCTGTCACACAAGCCTTAATTTTATTGACTTGGACTGGGGTAGATGACAATATCTTTCTAGCAACACAAGCCTTAATTTTCTTGACTTGGACTGGGGTAGACAATAATGTCTTTCTGCCACACAAGCCCTAATTTTCTTGACTTGGACAGTGGTACAGGTATATAATACATGTAATGTTTTTATGCCACACAAGCCTTAATTTTCTTGACTTGGACTGGGGTAGACAATAATGTCTTTCTGCCACACAAGCCTTAATTTTCTTGACTTGGACTGGGGTAGATAATAATGTCTTTCTGCCACACAAGCCTTAAATTTCATGACTTGGACAGGGGTAGACAATAATGTCTTTCTGCCACACAAGCCTTAATTTTCTTGACTTGGACTGGGGTAGATGACAATATCTTTCTGACACACAAGCCTTAATTTTCATGACTTGGACAGAGGTAGACAATAATGTCTCTCTGCCACACAAGCCTTAATTTTCTTGACTTGGACTGGGGTAGATGACAATATCTTTCTGACACACAAGCCTTAATTTTCATGACTTGGACAGAGGTATATAATACATGTAATGTTTTTTTTATGCCACACAAGCGCTAATTTTCTGGACTTGGACAGGGGTTGACAATAATGTCTTTCTGCCACACAAGCCTTAATTTTCTTGACTTGGACAGGGGAAGATAATAATGTCTTTCTGACACACAAGCCTTAATTTTCTTGACTTGGACTGGGGTAGATAATAATGTCTTTCTGCCACACAAGCCTCTATTTTCTTGACTTGGACTGGGGTAGATAATAATGTGTTTCAGCCACACAAGCCCTAATTTTCTTGACTTGGACAGGGGTAGACAATAATGTGTTTCTGCCACACAAGCCTTAATTTTCTTGACTTGGACAGGGGTAGACAATAATGTCGTTCTGCCACACAAGCCTTAATTTTCATGACTTGGACAGAGGTATAATACATGTAATGTCTTTCTGCCACACATGCCCTAATTTTCTTGACTTGGACAGGGGAAGATAATAATGTCTTTCTGACACACAAGCCTTAATTTTCTTGACTTGGACTGGAGTAGATAATAATGTCTTTCTGCCACACAAGCCTTAATTTTCATGACTTGGACAGAGGTATATAATACATGTAATGTCTTTCTGCCACACAAGCCCATTATTTTCTTGACTTGGACTGGGGTAGATAATAATGCCTTTCTGCCACACAAGCCCTAATTTTCTTGACTTGGACAGTGGTACAGGTATATAATACATGTAATGTTTTTATGCCACACAAGCCTTAATTTTCTTGACTTGGACTGGGGTAGACAATAATGTTTTTCTGCCACACAAGCCTTAATTTTCTTGACTTGGACTGGGGTAGATGACAATATCTTTCTGACACACCAGCCTTAATTTTCATGACTTGGACAGAGGAAGACAATAATGTCTTTCTGCCACACAAGCCTTAATTTTCTTGACTTGGACTGGGGTAGATGACAATATCTTTCTGACACACAAGCCTTAATTTTCATGACTTGGACAGAGGTATATAATACATGTAATGTTTTTTTATGCCACACAAGCCCTAATTTTCTGGACTTGGACAGGGGTAGACAATAATGTCTTTCTGCCACACAAGCCTTAATTTTCTTGACTTGGACAGGGGTAGATAATAATGTCTTTCTGTCACACAAGCCTTAATTTTATTGACTTGGACTGGGGTAGATGACAATATCTTTCTAGCAACACAAGCCTTAATTTTCTTGACTTGGACTGGGGTAGACAATAATGTCTTTCTGCCACACAAGCCCTAATTTTCTTGACTTGGACAGTGGTACAGGTATATAATACATGTAATGTTTTTATGCCACACAAGCCTTAATTTTCTTGACTTGGACTGGGGTAGACAATAATGTTTTTCTGCCACACAAGCCTTAATTTTCTTGACTTGGACTGGGGTAGATGACAATATCTTTCTGACACACAAGCCTTAATTTTCATGACTTGGACAGAGGTATATAATACATGTAATGTTTTTTTATGCCACACAAGCCCTAATTTTCTGGACTTGGACAGGGGTAGACAATAATGTCTTTCTGCCACACAAGCCTTAATTTTCTTGACTTGGACAGGGGTAGATAATAATGTCTTTCTGTCACACAAGCCTTAATTTTATTGACTTGGACTGGGGTAGATGACAATATCTTTCTAGCAACACAAGCCTTAATTTTCTTGACTTGGACTGGGGTAGATAATAATGTCTTTCTGCCACACAAGCCCTAATTTTCTTGACTTGGACAGTGGTACAGGTATATAATACATGTAATGTTTTTATGCCACACAAGCCTTAATTTTCTTGACTTGGACTGGGGTAGACAATAATGTTTTTCTGCCACACAAGCCTTAATTTTCTTGACTTGGACTGGGGTAGATGACAATATCTTTCTGACACACAAGCCTTAATTTTCATGACTTGGACAGAGGAAGACAATAATGTCTTTCTGCCACACAAGCCTTAATTTTCTTGACTTGGACTGGGGTAGATGACAATATCTTTCTGACACACAAGCCTTAATTTTCATGACTTGGACAGAGGTATATAATACATGTAATGTTTTTTTTATGCCACACAAGCCCTAATTTTCTGGACTTGGACAGGGGTAGACAATAATGTCTTTCTGCCACACAAGCCTTAATTTTCTTGACTTGGACAGGGGTAGATAATAATGTCTTTCTGTCACACAAGCCTTAATTTTATTGACTTGGACTGGGGTAGATGACAATATCTTTCTAGCAACACAAGCCTTAATTTTCTTGACTTGGACTGGGGTAGACAATAATGTCTTTCTGCCACACAAGCCCTAATTTTCTTGACTTGGACAGTGGTACAGGTATATAATACATGTAATGTTTTTATGCCACACAAGCCTTAATTTTCTTGACTTGGACTGGGGTAGACAATAATGTCTTTCTGCCACACAAGCCTTAATTTTCTTGACTTGGACTGGGGTAGATAATAATGTCTTTCTGCCACACAAGCCTTAAATTTCATGACTTGGACAGGGGTAGACAATAATGTCTTTCTGCCACACAAGCCTTAATTTTCTTGACTTGGACTGGGGTAGATGACAATATCTTTCTGACACACAAGCCTTAATTTTCATGACTTGGACAGAGGTAGACAATAATGTCTCTCTGCCACACAAGCCTTAATTTTCTTGACTTGGACTGGGGTAGATGACAATATCTTTCTGACACACAAGCCTTAATTTTCATGACTTGGACAGAGGTATATAATACATGTAATGTTTTTTTTTATGCCACACAAGCGCTAATTTTCTGGACTTGGACAGGGGTAGACAATAATGTCTTTCTGCCACACAAGCCTTAATTTTCTTGACTTGGACAGGGGAAGATAATAATGTCTTTCTGACACACAAGCCTTAATTTTCTTGACTTGGACTGGGGTAGATAATAATGTCTTTCTGCCACACAAGCCTTAATTTTCATGACTTGGACAGAGGTATATAATACATGTAATGTCTTTCTGCCACACAAGCCCATTATTTTCTTGACTTGGACTGGGGTAGATAATAATGCCTTTCTGCCACACAAGCCCTAATTTTCTTGACTTGGACAGTGGTACAGGTATATAATACATGTAATGTTTTTATGCCACACAAGCCTTAATTTTCTTGACTTGGACTGGGGTAGACAATAATGTTTTTCTGCCACACAAGCCTTAATTTTCTTGACTTGGACTGGGGTAGAT